CTTCATGGCCAATACTCTGCCCGTACCAAACAAGCTGATGTAGACAAACCCCCGTACCCATCTGTGGTTACGTAGTGCAGGGTTAAAAGCTCAAAATGAAGGTTTTATTCTTGCTCTACCGAAATTATCAAGGACACATAGTAAAATATTGTGTTAGCCCAAAATGCAGGTTCTGTGATAAATATCCAGAAAAAATTGATCATCTTTTGAGCTTGCACGTTATTGGAAACCAACTGAAATAAAAATTGATATAATAAACAATATCTAATGGAAAAAAATCTGCATTGAAAAATCTGCAACTTCTACAAAATGAAACTGGTATAAACACCACCCAGACCCGGTTTCGGAGATAGGACTTGTTATAATTTTATGGGACTACACAATACACACAGACAGAACAATTAAAGCTAATCAACCTTTTCTCTATCACGCCTCTTTATTAGTTAATTAATCTAACAATATTTTCCTACTCCTTAATATTTTATTTGCAGACTTTTCCTTTTTTTTTTTTTTTCTTAAGTATCTTTGACAAATTTTTTTTAAACTTACAATTTTCGAATTTGATAAGTTTTCGTTCCTTGCATCCGTACAAGCGCTGCAGTTGTACAATGTCTAGTTGACTCATTCCATATCGTTGACCAATTTCGACGTTCTTTTGAAGGGGGACGATTGTCGGTTTGTCCCGATTGATACCGAAGCTGTAGGCATCATAATGCATGATTGAGTTGTAGTCGTAACCGAGACCCTGCGTATCGATTAGCGGAGGATACATTTTCTTAAAGTTCTTCTTATGTTCTGAAAATATTTTAAAAGTGACATATTTAAATAATAATAATAATAATAATAATAATAATAATAATAATAATGATAATAATAATGATAATAATAATAATAATTCCTTACAACCTACAAATATTTTCAAATTTACAAATAATAACAGATACAGACACGATAATAAGATGAACCATTTCACGGTCAATACTCTGCCTGTACCAAACAAGCTGATGTAGACAAACTCCGTACTCATCAGTGGTTTCGTAGTTCAGGGTTAAAATCTGAAACTGAGGTTTTTATCCTTGTTGCACAGAACCAACGAAAAAATACATTAGAAATTATCAAGCATACACACTAAAATATTACAAGAAAGCCCAAAAATGCAGATTCTGTGATAAATATCCAGTAATAATTGATCATCTTGCATAAAGGTTAAACAAGTTTTGACCCAACTGAATATAAAACACGGCATGACAGATTGGGCCAATCAATCTGTACACAAAACCCTGAAACTTCTTCGGGTATAAACTTGAATATTTTAAAACACCACCCAGACCTGGTTACGGACATAGGACCTGTAACAATTTTATCAGACCATATCAATACACGGAACTGATCTTGACCATATTATACATCGAATTCGACAGGAGGAGTGTTCATATTTATATATATATATATATATATATATATATATATATATTAAAAATAAAATTATTTATTTTAGGGTAAAAATTCCTTGTACCTCGATAAGTCATTGAAACCATATCTACAAATATAAATCTAAATCTCAATTTCTTCTCATGTTATATATATATTAATAATAATAATAATAATAATAATAATAATAATAATATTTATATAAATATATAAAGCAAAATTAATATACTGAATCTATATAAATACTTAAAAAACAAAAAGCAAAAGCAAATGTAAGCGACCAGATACATAAAACGATGACAAGATAAAGGGTTTTTTTAGGAACTCTGCCCGTATCAAATAAGCTGGGGCCACAAAATTTTCTTACCCATCAGTGGCTACGTCCTTCAGGTCTTTATCAAGAGTTGTAGGTTTTATTCTTGCTGCACTGGACCAATGTTTTGCTAACTGGAAATTACCAAACACATATACAAAAAAATTGTGTCAGTCAAAATGGAGATTCTATAATAAATATCCAGAAACAATTGACCATCTTGTATCAGGTTTACATTTTATTACATTTAAAACACGACAGTATTTATTTTTTGCAATATCTGCACTGGAAAATTAAAAACATTTACGGAAAAAAAACTGCAAGAAATTGGTAAAAATATACCCAGACCCGGTTACAATTGTAACAATTTTGGGGACTTTAAAAATACACGAGACATAACAATGTAAGCTAATCACTCAGATATCGTGATTAAAGAAAATAAAGAAAAAAAGTATAAAGATATTGATACAGCAGTCCCTGCAGACATATATATATTTTGAAGATATGAAAAAACTTTGAAATTAAAAGGACATTGAAATCGAAATTTAAAAATGTACGCATGAGGACATTAACAATTGCAGTTGTGTTTGGAGCCCTATAATTGATTATATAAAGATTCCTTAGACCCTCAGGTTTTAGTCAGTATCTGTCTATATTTCTGAAAAAATTAAAAAACCACTATTTACATTATTCGGACTACCCTATTGTTTTCATCTTTTATGCCATCTGGTATACAACGTTTCACAGTTCACTGATCACTGGGATGAACCTTCTCTCCTGCTAAACTAATATAGTAGTCGGAAGATTCTAACATAGACTCTTAAGAAGGAAACACCAAACAATAAATATATACGAATATATATATATATATATATATATATTTAAAATTTACTTATGTAAATAATATAATGTTTTATACTATAGTATAGCATTATTATATTTATATATTATATTATATAATAATATAATGTACTATACTATACTATCGTACTAATACAATGTACTATATTATTTATTTATTTTATTACTCTGTGCTATATTCTTTTTATTATGTAAAAATAATATATATATATATATATATATATATATATATATATATTATATATATATATATTATTTATGATTGCCTGTACTCAGGCAAAAAAAAAAAAATCGACCACGTAAAAAAAAGTCAGTTTTCTTTGGGGCATAGCCTCATCTGGGGATACCCTCTGACATGTGCCATATATATATATATATATATATATATATATATATATATATATATATATATATATATATATATATAATCATCATAAAAGAAAACGAATACTTTAAAAGACCATGATGATATTTATTTTGTGAAGATCGACAGTTCGATCGCAACTCTGACCTCCTGAGATCAAACTCTCGATCTAAACAAAATAAATACATATATATGATCTTTTCAACCCTAAGACGTTATTCATTCGCTCTGTTTTGGGCATTGATTGTTCTCTTTAGATCTATGTCCTTTTGGAATTATCCTACGGATTGAAAATATTATCATATATATATATATATATATATATATATATATATATATATATATATATTATTATTATTATTTTCTTATAAGAGATTATAATAAAACATTTTGAAATTGCTGCACAAAAGCTTTCATGTTTCAGTGTTTTCATTGTACTTTTTTCTTAGGCGATGATAAGTCACTTGTGATTAAATGATTTTTAGGGAAGTTTAAAAACAAAGTGTTATGTCTTTTCGGAAATGAAAGTGGGGGAGCATATGGTCAGAATTAAAAATAGACTTGTGGGCATGTCTTGATTAACCCATTAAATGTCTTATCTCCGCTAAATAGAAAAGTAAGCTCAGAGGGTGGAGGTAGGTGAGTCATTTTTTCACGTCACAATAAACCGGAACACCGACATGCCATCATTGACTATTATGGTTACTTTTCTATTAGCGTATATCTACATTATATTGGTTATTCAAGACACGAAATGAAGTATTTAATATTCAAAATTCTGACTTTATGCGGGAGGGTCGAAGAGATCTGGGGTGGATAGGTATGTATCAGAATATGCTTACTTTCTTGAATGTTGTCCATAATAACTTTAACGAAACTGTCTCTGTCTGGTCGACTCTGCTCGTGATAAAATCCAAGAGCATGTAAGGTTTCGTGTATAATAGTTCCTTTGTTTCGACATCCGATACCCAGCGCAATACCCTGAGATCTCCCTGAGAAGCCGAGTTTGCTGTGGCACCTGCAATAAAGAAAATAAAAACAGGTCACCTATTTAAGCATAAAAAATATCAATGACCAATGCGATTCATATAATAAAAATATTATTACAGTAAACATCGTTGATAATACGTTTTATATAATAAAAAACATTGTTGATATATTTAAATCGTTTTATCGTGATATATAGAGAAAATCTTTTGTTATGTAATTTATATATTAAAATGCATTGGTAATGAAATTTATATAGTAAAACTCATTAGTAATATAATCTAGAGGGTGGTCGGAAAGTCTTGTCACCCCTATTAAAAATTAATGAAAACAATAGTAATTCAGTAATACAAAACACATGTACTGTATTCAGTTTATTCACTTTCATTGACGCTATCACACTTCGAGAAGGTCAGTATGAACACCATCATTTTCGTGGCATAAAATGATGCCTTGCTATGTCCTGTGCAATATTTTACGAAGCTCTGTTTTTTTTTACTGTTGCAAAGGGTCTGCGAATGACGTCCTTGAACTGACAGCTATTCTAGTATCGTTCATGTGAAAATCTCTCTTTGATAATACCCCACATATATGTAGGGGTGAAGAGATTTCGGTCCGCCTTGTCTATTAATAAACACATATGCGTTGGTCTTTTCAAAATGACCTTCCCTTCCTGGGAATTGATAAAAATAGCAAACACAATAGAGATTTTACAAGTATTTTCATCTTCTTAGATATTTAAATTGTTGTACAGGGGGATCCGCAAGTCTTGTCACTGCCTACCAAAACAGTAATGAGAACAATAGAACAACAAGTAATACAAAGCACATTTACTGGATTCAGTTTATTCACTTTCATTGATGCCATCACACATCGAGAAGGTCTCTATGAGCACTATCATTTTCGTGGCAGTTATTTTGAATAGAAGATTATATGTAGGGGTAACAAGATTTTCGGGCCACTCTGTACATCTATTTAAATATACAGGGTGGTTGGAAAGTCTTGTCACCCGCTACCAAAACAGTAATGGAAACAATAGAAGAACAAGTACTGACCTGGCTCTACGATGCTTAACTTCGGTGATCGTACGAGAACCGGTGTTTCAGCGTGATTTGACCGTAAGCTAAAGATCAATTACGACCGATTGGTGAGGTGTATCCTCACTGGGTACTCTATACTTGCGGCTTTGAGCCACATCAAAGCTACGATTAGAAAATTCACCATTGGTAAAGCAATTTATATACTAACATACATCGACAATTAAATGTATATAATAAAATTCATTGGTAATGAAATTTATATAGCAAAAATCATTGGTGATGTAATTTACATAGTAAATTTAATTTATACAGGGTGTATAAAAATACAGCTACAAACTTTGTGAAAGGTTCCTCATATCCAAACAAATCCATATAACCACATGTCCACAAATCCTTCGTTTTTGAGTTAAGTTTAAAGAAAGATTACAGTAGATGGTGTTGTGTTGTCATGTAGACTAGATTACATTTGTTTGTTTGTGTTTTACGGCATATCAACCTCGTTGGGTTATTTAATGCCAATAATAGATATCCGGACCTTGATAAATAGATAGCTTGTCATTCATACTTCGATAAAGATATATATGTTGGTATTTACACCTTGACAAACAGATAGATAGCTTGATACTCACACTTCGACATATAGATAGATATTCTGATATTCCGGCTTTAGAGGCTCTTTCAGGAACTTTAGCAGAGTTTAATCGTGGCATTGGTGATTTTTCAGTACGCACATCAATCGTAAACTGATGCTTGTATTTAGCCTGTATTGTAACAGGGGGATTCCGATCCGCCCACAAATATTGGTTGTGTAAATTTGTTTTTCAAATATTGCCTCATCCGTAAACAAGACTGAAGAGACAAAAAATGGATCGGCAGTTTGTGCAATAAACCATTGGCAAAAGTTCTCTCGTGGTGAGTGATCAGAGATCGAAATATCCTGCACACGTTACAAATTTTTTTTTTTAGCATTCCACACCAAGCAGGGGTTACAGAGAGTTGGAGCGAGAGCAAAGAGGAGTGATAGAGGAAAGGATAAAGAGAAGAAGAGGGAATAGATCAGGGCATCGATTAACGTTACATTTGAATAGTTGGCAACCAGGAAAACAGGAAACGGGGAGGGAGTTCCACAGCCGAAAAGTGCGAGACATGAAGCTATTGGAGTAGAAGAGACGGCTACATTTAACAATTTCGAAAGTGAAAGGGTGAAAGCAAGATGCCAGCCTAGTTGAACGCTTAAATTCATGAGGTCTGGGAACCAGCGAAAGCAGCTCATTGGAGCAGTTACCATGAACGTATTTGTAAAAAAGACAGAGGGAGGCGACGGCACGTCTGTGAGAGAACGACTGCAGACGAGATGCCAGATCAGGGCCAATTACATTGCATATCCGTCTCTGGATTTTATCAAGGACCTTGAGACAAACAGAAGGGGCTTCAGACCATATATGGCAGCAATACTCAATGCAAGGGCGAATGGTTGATTTGTAGATTTGAAGGATTTTTCAGCACACACATCAATCATAAACTGATGCTGGTGTCTAGACTGTAACCACAAATGTACACGAATGACAAATGTTACCTCGTCTCCATGGTTTTTTTGAACGATCTACTGTAAACATTCCAGTGGAAATTGTATTGTCAAAAACCTATCGTTTCCTGGATATATTGCCCCCATCTGTCTCTCTTTATATATATATATATATATATATATATATATATATATATATATATATATATGTAAAAAGGCTTAAACAGCTAATATTCCATGGTCTGATGAATTGGATTTTATTTACGATTCCAATGGAATAAATTATGACCATGGAATAATGAATGTTTAAGACGAATATATATATATATATATATATATATATCCTCTTGAAAAACCTTCTTAGCGATACTACGATGTACGACATGCTAGGGCCACTTGACGCGTGCTGATATCTTCATCGTCCACAACAGCCTGTAGAATATGTTCCTCGTGGTCAAGTGCACAAGCGGATCTCAGTCTTCCTCGGTCCATAGTTTGTGGTGCCACGGATTCTGTCTCAGCAACGCGACGATAAGCAGCAGCAAAGGTTGGCGAATTCGGATGTCTTTGGTCTGGAAACACAATCTGATACAGCCGTGCACCCTCGCGTCCATTACCATTCGCGCGGCCATATGCAAAAATCATATCTGCCTGCTCCCGATATGAATATCCTGCCATTGTTAAGCGGTACACTTCTCAGTTAACTCACTACTACACACGTTAAACGTTGAAGACAGACTAGGCACAAATGTACACGAATGACAAATGTAACCTAGTCTATTTGGCAATACAGCGCCATCTACCATAAATTTTTTGAAAATTTAATAACTCAAAAAAGATGCATTTGCGTACATGTCTATATGGACGTTTGTCCTTGTTTTGGTATGAGGAAACCGCCTCTAAAGTTTATAAGACAATTTTTTATACATTGATGCATCAAAAAACATTGTTAATGTCATGTCTATAATAAAATTTCGTAATTTTCTCCACGACGCCTCTTGGAAATACCAGATAAAACCAGTCTTCTTGGTTCACTCATGTCAGTTCAACCTCTGTAGCCCACTGGAATCATTTTTTCCATCTGTTCCAACGCGATAGCTCTGCTCCCAGAAGATGGCTTCTTGTCTGCGCGTAATAATTGTATACGTGTCGTCAAGGAACCTAAGACATTTTGTTCGTTGACAAGAATAAAACACCGTATAGTCTCTCATAAGTTTAATTTACGTGATTAATGGCAGTTCTGTAATAGCGTTAAATAAGGGTAAGTCCTCTATTTCTCCTCTTTGCATTCAATTTGAGCTGTTTCGTCTGCTGACAAAGCAGAATGCTTTGCTCGTAAATTCTCTTCCAGTTCAACTTTTGCCTCGTCTGGAGTATCTTTGCCTGACTTTTTGTTGAGAACTACTGTGTGATGTGCTATTAGCCCTAAACTGGATCCCACAAAATATGCGTATTGAAGCTAACCCTGCAATAATCTTAGAAAAATGTGCTCCTGAAATGACTCCTGTTCTCCCTAAACTCTTTGCTGTTTCTTTCTTTCCAGCTTGTTGAAAATCTTCTTCTGAGTTTCCTGCTTTTTAAGAACTCTGGCAAATCACGTTATCCGTCTATCGACCTATAAGTCTTTTACCAGTTTTTTTGGCAAAATACTAGAGGGTTTAATCAAATCTGAATTAGTTAAGCATCTCCCCTCGCAGGGTCTTCTAGCAGACAAACATTATGGCTTTCGCTTCCCTACATCAGCTATTACTGAAAGAGTCTGTTTAGCTTTAAATAAGAATGTTGAAGCTCCGAATGTTGCTTTAGATATTTTGAACGAGCTTGTTAGGGTTTAGCCTGCTGGACTTGAAACGTTATGGTATTTCTTGCCGAATTGTGTCAGTGTTTTTTTATATCAAATCACGAAATGAAAGTTGTCTTGAATGGCCACTCTTCTAGATCTTTTTACATTAATGCTTGCCTCCTTGAACCTACAGTGTTCCCAAATTTAAATAAACGGCCTTCCTGGTGCCATGACTTCTCAACTCGATGTCTATACTGATGACAAAACTATTTACTCATGTCTTAATAGCAAGTATGATCGGTTCAATAAGGTCAAATTGGTTGGTGATGTCAAAAATGACTTACAATCTGTTAACTTGATACAAGGCACAAGAGACACTTAATATAGAGGGTTAGTGAAAACTACTGCTTTATGAACGTAAGAATTGTAAATTGAAGAATTGTATATGTAGAATCGATGACAGTTGACTTTGGATTTGAAGACATTAAAATTGAAGTTTCAGTCTTTAAAAACTGCTTTGATCCTTCTAACTTTCAGCCTCCGCCTTTTTAAATTTCAGCCTCCGACCTCTTTTTGGCAACGTACTAGAGGTTCTAACCAACTCTGTATTTGTTTATGCATTTCACATCGCAAGTTCTTCTTTCAGATAAGCAATATGGCTTTCGCTTCTCTAGGTCAGCTGTTGATGTAATGGCGATTATTGCCGAAAGAGCTTATCAAGCTTAAGATATGAATGGGGAAGTTCGAGCAGTTGCTTCGAATATCTCGAAAGCATTTGATAGGATTTTGGCATGCTGGTCTTCATCACAAGTTGAAATATTATGGTAAATCTCGATGAATTTGTATCCGATTCACTCTTATCAAATCACGAAATGTTTAGTTATCTTCTTGAACGTTTTACACTCATTTTCTGTTGTCCTCCTGATTTTATATCTCTTCCTATCATTAAAATATTTGCCTGTTTTAATTATTTTGCATTTTCATAGTAAAATCATTTATGTTTTTAATACAATTTGCAAGTTTTTTTATAAAAATCATTTGCAATCTTTTTTTTATAGTAAAAATATTTTGCTATGTATTTTTATAGTAACAATCATTTGAATGCATTTTTAAACCATTTGAAATGTATTTTAAATAAAAATTTGCAATCTATTTTTATAGTAAAAAATCAATTTTATAAAAAAGCAAAAATTTTTGGCAAATTTTAAAAAAAATCATTGGCAATGCATTTTTTAGTAAAATCATTAAACGCATTTTATAGCAAAATTTTGGCAATGCATTTTTATATAAAATCATTGGCAATGCATTTTATAGTTTTTATAGTAAAAAAAATGTTTTATTTGCAATGCTATTTTATAGTAAAAATCAAAAAAAATGATTTTTATAGTAAAAATCATTTAAATGCATTTTTATAGTAAAAATCATTTGATTTTATATGCATTTTTTTATAGGAAAAAAAATCATTTAGAAAAAAACAAATGCATTTTTATTTTATTTTGCAACGCATTTGTAGCAAAAATCATTTGCAATTTTATTTTAAAAATTTGCAATTTTTATAGCAAAAATCAGATACAATGCATTTTTATAAAAAAAATCATTTGCAATGCATTTTTTATAGTAAAAATGCATTTTATAGTAAAAATTATTTGCAATTTTATTTTGCATTTTTATAGTAAAAATCATTTTTTAGCAAAAATCATTGGTAATTTTAAAAAAAATCTAAACATTTTTTATAGTAAAAATCATTGGCAATTTTTTTTATAATAAATTTTTT